TTAAAAAAAAAAAACCTAGATATTAAAAAAAAAAAAAAAAAAGAATGCCCTCATGCTTTCTGCATGTCAGCCTCCCTCTGCCACAGACTGATTCCAGACACACTGGTCAGGAGACCCACCCACTGGGGGAACAGAAGGAGCCTGGGAAGGAGGCTCTGAGTCATCAAAGCCTCGGGGAATCCCTTGTGGATCAGCTGGTCACATGCTTACCCATGCAGTTCTTCATCATCATGAATCCGCTCTCATAGCCTTCATCACACCTGCATTCGAAGTCCCCCGGGGTGTTCACACACTGGCCACGGCCACAGAGGTCAGGAGAGATTCGGCATTCGTCGATGTCTGAATGCAAGCAGCAAGCAGCAGCGCGTGAGTCCCAGGACAGCTCTCATTCTTGTGGCAATGTGGGAAAGGGGAAGAGTTCTACCGGGTGTCCCTCGAAGGGGAGCCCTTCACTGACCTGTGCAGTTCCTTTCTTCAGAGTCAAGAGCAAAGCCACTGTCACACCTGCACTTAAAGCTGCCAATGGTGTTTCTGCACTTGCCGTGGGTGCAGAGGCTGGGGATCATCTTGCACTCGTTGATATCTTTAAGAAAAAGAAAATGTGCAGAAAGTTCCTGAGCATCCTGTAAGGAGTTCTCAATGCCTCTATTTTAAACCCAGGAGGCTGGAGGGTCTTGATTTAAGGTCTTGGCAATATGCACTTTAAAGAATGTGTAATGATCCATGAGAACTATGATTTTGTAAACATTTCTAGTCTACATTTTAGAAAGCATTATTAGGGAAGTAAAGAGTGCGTTTATTTGGACTTCTAGAGCCCAGCACACTGCCTGATACATACCAAACACTTCAGTATTCGCTGAATGAATGAATAAATATTCTAAACCACTAGCATCTCTACTTAAATCACACAGAAGATGATTGGAATAGACTGCCCCACAGCAACCAAATGAGAGTATAGTGGATTGAGATATTCATCTGTGTTTCTGATGCTTTCTTGGATACACCTAAAATATAAGAACTTCAAAAAAGATGTCATTTAAAATTGAAATGATTTGTAAATAAATGTATACTATTTAAAATATTTTCTCAAACATGTATACAATTTGAAAATATTTTCTCAACATTAAGGTTTCATTAATATAATTAAAAGAGTTTCTTATACACTAGGAGACTGCATAATGTAATGGGTGATCTCCTTTCAGGGGCCTTTCCAAAGCAAGACCTAAAGCTCAAGAAATGCAAGTTCATTTCCACAAAATGTCACGAAAGACAGAACTAGCAGATTAAATCTCAAGAACAAGTTCTTCTGTGGCAATGGATCGCCACAGCCTTTGGAAAAAAATCATTCAAATTCCTTTGAATTTACTTAAGAGACATTTAAAAGGGTCATCTAGAAACTGTCTCTTTAGACAGAATTTTAATCCCCAGGGCGTCTTGGATCAAACACTCAATACAAAAAAAAAAAAAAATACACTTTTATGTAAGGATAATTAAACAATATTTATATACTCACTTCCCATTTTTATAAGTTGATTTGGTTGTGAAGTATAATAACTAGGCCCAGACAAAATGGGCAACCAAGACAAAAATCTACACCAGGAATATAAGCTGGGCCTCTCCGAAAAATTGGAATTCTCAGAAACCAGTCATGATTTTTCCATATGCTCAAGTAAACAAGTTCTGTATCCTTGTGCATAAAAAGTTAAATCAATTTTGGAATTAGATTAAATCTGGAACTTCTCATTTTTTCACATGAATTTTAGATGATAGCATAATAAACTGAAATAAGGTTTGAAATATCAGAAGTCACTGGAATGTGCGTGCCATCAGAATGACTTTCACTGTTTTTGGACAAAGAGGATCTGCTGCTGGGTTTGTCACGCCATTCACCTCCCCCACGGTACACTCAGGTGAGCTGCCGTGACCTGGATTAAAGCAGCAGAGAAGAGGTGTCTGACAGACTAAAAATTCCCCGAGAAGATATCCTCCTTGTTGATATTTGGCTGAGGGTAGTTTTAAAATCTACTTTAACACTTAACAAGTGGCTAATGGGAGGGGCAACTGGCCTCAGGAAGTCCTGGAAGGTGGGAAAAGAGAACCCGTTCCAGAGTGAACATCTGTCTGCTATAACTCAGAAAGTGAGGAAAGTGTGTGTGTGTGTGTGTGTGTGTGTGACAACCGAGGGATGGCCACGCTGCTCGTAGTCACTGTGACTCTCCTCTTAACAGAACCTCCTCTTGGTCTACAAAGAAGAGCAATCAGCCCACTGAAACCCGTGGTACCTTTGAAGAAAGGTTTGCCGTTTGTAATTTCTTTGGTGGCGAATCCGGGCCCTCTGGGACAGAGCTCATCATACTCTGGCGTGTTTCTCACAGGACACTCCTCGCATTCCTCAGTACCCCAGGCCGCCCCAACGGAGCAGCAACAAACGTCCATGCGGTGGCGGCCGGCAACAGGCAGAGTGCATTCCTCGTCCTCGTACCTCAGGAAGCAGGTTTCCACGCGGATATCTGCCAGATGGAACACAGGGAGGCTGAGAGAGTTACACTATTTCCACTGCCCCAAACTGCTGGCCAGTTGGGTTAGGCAAGGTACAATGTACATAATAATTTGCTATGTATTTATTGGCTGGAATTCATTATTTTCCTCAAAAGGAGTCCAGGCTTTCTGAGGAGTACTCCCACCTGATAAAAGGCTTTCTTTTCTTTGGCAGCTCCTGTTTATTTGCACCTCCTATTACTGGAAACTTTCCTTTCGATTTTAGGCATTTTCTGATAATTCTACATAAAGAATGGTATTCGGAGAAATCCCACAGTGCTCTTTGGGGAGATGTTTTCTCCCTGTACAGGCATGCTTCCTACCAATACATGCACTCCATCATGCCTTGACCTCCTCTCTAGCTAAAAGGAAACTGCACTCTTTCTCACTGGAGAACATCGAAGCTAGTTCCAGCACTTTTTCCTCACACCTTCATTTTTGGAGAGGTGCAGTGTTAAATTCCAAAATGAAGAATGCCCTACTTGAGATTGAAGAGGAAAAACAGCAAAGAAAAGCGATTTTCTCCTCTTCTCAAGTATTTCTTTCACTTCTACGTGTGCTTATGTGTACATTCTTCTGGGTACACATGGGATACATCTCACCCCAACCCCAAATTCGTGGAATCGTGAGGAAGAGTAGAAGTGATATACCAGATGTCAAGAGACCTGGAACTCAGTCCTGCCCTGCAATGAAGAAGTTGTTTGTTTTAGACAAATTATTAACCCTGACCCTGAATTTCTACATCCATAAAATGATGTTGCACCCATCTCTGAGGGGGTACCGTGAAGCTCAGATAAGATTCTGTGTCTGGAAACTGTAAAGTGTAATTAAAACCTAAGGCATTATCTTCCCTCTCTCTCCTTCACAATGTAGTCATTAACCATTCACCTATGTGCCTGAACATCCTTTAATGTTAGAAAGCTTCCGAAGCCTTCTGGGCAACTTTCCATTCAGGTTGCCTCTAATGAGATATATGGATACCTTTTACATGATTTCTAAATTAAACACTGAAGCATCTCTCAACCGAAGAACCTGGAAGAAGGTTCTCATTAAACGCCAACTCCTCCTAAACAAAAAAAGTGGACTCAAAATGAGATTAACTGACATCCATGGTTATGAGAAGACTCTCCCCTCTGGATTCCAACTTTTCTACTCCATATTGCTTACATTATAAACCATAAAGCTCTATATTTCAAGTTTTGTTAGTTCTAATTCATAAATGATCCAAATTCCTTAACCTCATCCTACTCTTTTAACCACCTACAGTGGTCCTTCACTAAGGATGCTCTTTAGAGGAATATGGTTTCAGATATACAATGTACCCGAGCATCATTTTCAGGACCACAGACTCGGAAATGAATGATCCAAGAGACATATTCCCAGCAGGCAGAAGCCAAAGAAGTAGGGTCAGAATCTGTCTGCCAGATGCCACACACATGACTGTGGGATCTCCAACTTGCTGCCGGTAAGAGCCCACAGGGCAGCTTTCTGAGAACTCAGGGTCCAATCTCTTCCATATCAATGCCACTTGGGCTCTCGCAGTTGGCTTGGAGAATCCCAACGTGATTAGAAGTGACAGTGGCCCTGGGCTCCTTTAGGTTCACTATTAAGGAATGTGGCACTCTTCACTCACACCCACTAGGGTTTCTTGCAAAGACCTGTCCATCTGGCCAATGGCAAGACATGCCTAGCAGGGATGGGCTACAGTTTCTAATCAAGCAAAATTGTTCTCCCCACCATTCACCTTGTATCCTAGAGTTGGTGGAGGCAGATTTGAACGTTCTGGAATAATGACTGTGATGGTAATGATTTAAAGAATAGTTACACATCAATAAAGAACTAAACATGTTCTCTACTCTTTTTATAAAGAATAAATGAAGAGCTTGAGTAAGGAAGGCTATTTGTCAAGGAACTTACTATGGATCCTAATGGAAATGCTGAATTTGGGATATGTATAACTGTACTTGGAACCAAATATTCAGCTTTATCTTACTCACTGAGTTTTTAATAATCTTTAAGAAATGACCATTAGAAAAGTAATGAGCTCAGGACTTACCTAGGCAGATCCTCCCTGTGGCATCCAAGGTCATCCCACTGGGACACTGACATTTAAATGATCCCTTAGAGTTAACGCATAAGCCATTTTTGCATACTCCTGGGAATACTTCACACTCATTTATATCTATCAAGAAAAAAAAACAGGAAGTTAAAATATATGTATAACATCATTCTACTTTATTCCATTCATGGAGTCACAATTATTCTCACAACAGAAAAGGCCATTTTGAACCAAATAAGTTCATAAAACTAGTTTGCTTCCAAATAGTTCATGTAGAATTTCTGGGAACTCTAAATAGCAACCATGCTGAGTCCACCTTTTCCCAAAGGTGTGAATTTCTCCATTGGTCTTAAGGAGTAATTTTTGAATTATAGAGGCCGGGAGTTGGTATGAGTTTTTGGGGACAGCCCTGGGTACTATGGACATCTCAGGTAAGGCTCCCAGGAGCCACATAGTTAGCTTTATGAGATCAGATGTCTGGGTATAACAGAAACCTGACCTTTCAAACTAGCAAAGAAGAAATAAATAGCCTGAAGAAAAAAATCCCACTGAGACATATCTGGGGCCAGTCAAAAGAGTGTCTTCTGAGAAATGCTGAAATGTCCCTAGAAAGTGTAAAACTAGTTTTAACTCAGCAACAGTCTCAGACTGTTTGTCAAAGCCTTGGTGGCCCCAGCTTGAGTTAGGGAGAGTCAAAAGATACTCATGTTCATTCATTCATCATTCACCAACTCACTCTCAAATGTACCAGTCCCTCCCAGTTTGCTTAATAGAAAGTAGTGTGTTCTCTGCACTTAATTTGGAAAAATATTCACCATCAAGTTAATTCAAAGAAAGGCACTTGCCAATGCCAAAAAAAGGGGGGTATTAGCATACTGTGTCTCTATTTGGAAAAAAATAACTTTCCAAGCCACGGATGTTGAAAAAGAAAATATTTGAAATCTTTCCTTCTGAGAGATGTAAGTGGGGAGGGGGAAATTTACCTTTTTGGGTTTTTTGTTCTGGCCACTTGTACACCAAAATGTGCTGCTGAGGTCAGATAAGTTATTAACAGTGGGTCTGGACCAGAGAAAGGCCAAAGGATTCAGTCATCATTTGGAAAGCAAGACCTTGGGTGGGGGTTGTAGCGTTCCTCTTTATTTTAGCAGGGGAAAAAAAAACTTCATTTCATTCCACATATGGGACTAATTGCTGTTTTTAAAATTTTTCAGCTGCTGTGTCATGTCAGGTTGTGTTAGTCACCCTGACCTACGTCTATCTGGGACTCCGTGAGAAAGAATCACAACAAACTGGAGAGAATCCACGTAGACTTTCAAAAATGAGACAATAGAGTATGTCCTTCTGAATCTTCCATGACCAAGAAACAAACAAACAAACACACACAAGCCAGGACAAACCAAGAAAAAAATGCAAATTTTACAGCCTCATTGGAAACTTCCATTTTCCTCTTCCTGACAGTATTTTGAAAGTGCAGTCGCTCGAAACCATGGTCAGCCATTTTCAATCACCCTGCCCTGTGGCCATAGTGATTCAACACTGGCAACAGCATATATATGCTTGTGAAATTAACATTTGTTATGTTCTGCAGTCCTCATTATTTCCCTCTCTGCTGCATATGTCTCACTGAGAAGTTACATGACAACTCTATCCAATCCAAGTGCACACAGGCATTCTTCATGCACACCAAAATTTATGGCTTATAAATACACATAAATACCTTCACACTGTGTTCCTTTAATTCTTGAATAGCCTTTGCCACATATGGGATCTGTAAAAAGAACAAACAAACAAAAAACAAATTTGAGATAACAATATCCAGACTTTGTACGACATGGTATAAGAAACACGAAAGAGGACCTGGACATGAATTAGATTTTGTGGCTATGAATAAGTCTAAGATGACAAAGGGTTTCTGCGATTGCACAGAGGAAGAAGAAGAACGAAATGTCTCCTTGAATTAAGCTCAATTCCTCTGAGAGGTCCTGAAAGACCCAAAGTTCCCCTAAAGATCATGCTAAGGGGATGACTAAGAAGGAAATTGGCTAGATCTCTCTTTTGCTATCAGCTCTAAAATAGGAATCATATAATATGGTTGAATCCTATAACATGGACATGGAAAATAAAGTCTAGAATTTGAAGATCTCCTGCCCTGCAGCATTCAGACTATATATTCATATACCCAAACACTGAATCAACAAAATCATCAGCAAAGCTCTCAAACCTCAGTTTTGCAACAGATTTAGAAGTTAAGTCATGAATACTGGTTCCTTTACATCAGTCCATTTTTTGGAAGATCTGTGCCTATAAAAAGCTCAGGACCCCTGATCATGAGGTTCCAAGAGAGCCCACAGGAGTTGCTGATCTAGGAAAGCAACACCAGGGTAGAAAACAATAACCCAATCACCAAATCACATGAAATTACTGTCCTTGACACTTCTCTTTGTTCCCTATTCAGCAATATGTTTCATCAAGGTCATCAGAATTAAATCTAGAATTCCTAGATGAACCTAAATAAATGAAGTACTGGGTTTCCCCTTTCTAAGCAAAGTGACCAGTGGGATGGGCCCAGAGCCACAGTGCCTGTCTCTCTTACCAACTTGGCATAGGGTGCACGGGCTCCCCCAGGCAGCACCAAGGGACGAACAGCACTGGGACTTTAAGGTGGCTCCGTTGATGTTGATCTCACACCGCCCATCAATGACAGTCTGCCAGCAAGTGCCTTTGATGGTTTCTGCAGGGAGGTAGGAGAAGATGTTTAATAGATACTTAATAGAATCTATATAAAAAATTCAAACACGCATTGGAATTACAGCAAGAATGACACGTGAAGCAAGTGATAATGTTGAAACAAAATAAAATTTTGTTCATCCATACTTAAACTATTTTGCAATAAACTCTTTCGCATTAAAAGTGGACATTAAATACAGTACTGATCAGCAAGATAAATACCTATGCAGATAGTTTTTGTTGGATCCAGAGTACTTTCAGAAGAACATTCACAAATAAAAGAGCCCGGGCTGTTCTTGCAGACTCCATTAATGCAAGGACTTGATTCACATTCATCAATGTCTGAAACAAAAACAGGTCCACATTACTGCTAAAAACTAGTCTTGCTCGTGAAAGGATATTTAAACTTTGGCCTCAATTGCTACCACATATTCTTTATTAGATAGTAGAACTGGCCTAGATAGATTTCTTTCTAGACTAGATGGAATGTCAAAACTAATACTTGAGCATATATCCCTCTAGCACAGAATCTGGCATACGGTTGAATCTTTTTATTCAGAAACTCTGGAGCAAACATGAAGTGTGATCTCCGAATTACTAACTATGTGATATTTTCTTCATCTTTCAAGTGATGGCAAATAAAATGCCAACTGTAGCTAAGTACCATCAGTATCTTCCTAAGCGCATGCAAGTGTCATTTAGGACCATAGAATCTCAATTACAATGACATACGTGTCTAAAATAGAGTTGACTCTAACTTATTCTCATGGTTTTTCAGTAGCATACCAAAAGACAGTAAAGTACGTAATACAAGAAGAAAAACACAATTTACCTTCACAGGTTTTTAGGTCAGGTTTGTAGATAAATCCCTTGGGGCAGGTACAGACAAAACTTCCCGGAGTGTTTCTACATTGTCCATTGTCACAAAGTAGACTGTTCAATACACATTCATTAATATCTGGAAAACCAACAAACATGAACTTTTGGAGGAGCTCATTCCTTGCATGCAATTTCTCTGTTTTTTCAGGTTAAGATTTAAGGTCATATGATATGATTAACTCAAGCAAACAGGCACAACTCCCCTACCATTGGTTTTTGCCTAACTTACCTAACTTGAAGAAAATAAGGGCTTCATCTGATTATTTTTACTAGGTGTCTACAAAGTCTAAAGTCACTAGATACTATGCAATTCACTTGCCTTAACAGGAAGACACCTGGATTTGCTGGAAATCATTAATCTTCATATAACTGTTCGTTGTGTCAGAATTAAAAGAACTAATCCTACTGATTTAAGGAACTAAACAAATATTTAGAAAGTATGGCCCATCTTGGATATGTGTTAGTTCCAGGATGGGTGTTTCTTCTTTAGAATAACTGAAATGGCCTCCAGTTGTGTTTACAGGGTATGAAGCAATCTGTAGAGTTTATAATTCTCACAAGGAATTTCAGACTTGAGATTCAGAGAGCCCAGAAAAACTCCTTACTTTCAGGTGAATAATAGGTCTGTCTGATGCAAAATCTAAATTTTGATATGTGTTACTTAGGTAATTCAGAAAGTGTGGAACTTCAACAGCTTGTTACATACAGTTGGGCTAAAGTATATTACACAACCCACAGAAGAGGCTTTATGTCCACAAGGAGTTTTTTACACGTCGTGAAATTCTGTTTAGATCATTATTTGACAATCTAGTAGCACTAAAATAAAGGATACACAAATTCAGCACCAGAGAGCTGCTTAGGTTCACAGTAGTAAATATATTTAAATTAGCAGTATACTTATAAAGTACTTAAAATGTGGAAAATTAAGTATAGAGTTATATTACTATATGAGGAAACAACACAGTGAGAATTCTCTCAAAATGATATAGGGAATGCTAACGCTTCCCAAAAGAGTCAATATTACAATCCTTAAACTTTGATGATGTCACAAGGATCTGGAACCTTAAAGTGAGGAATTGATGATTAAGATAAAAAATAGCCACTACCTGGAATCCTATGGCTGTGGTGGATCTTTGATTCCTCACTTTATATTTCTAAACATAATCTGGAATACGAACATACTTCTGACCTGATGATAATCAGTTCAACTTTGGAGTACATACTAATGCATTGAAGGAAGAATCCCTATTGCCTCCCAAACTCTCCCTTTTGCTTCAAATGGGGTGATTTGTGGATGAAGCTAAAACATCTTTGTGTCCTTCTGGGCCTGTTCAGATAAATGATGATTTTCGTCTGCCGAAGAGAAGAGGCTCTTACAGAAAAATGAAATAGTAGAACTTATTTTGAGTTTAATCTAGTTTGAAAATACCATGTGCAATCAAATCACAACTATGCTCCCAAAAAGAAGCCTTAAAATTAAGGGTGTGAGAGAGGAAGAATTCATTTCTCAAAAGTCAGTGTATCACTGCACTACAGAATGGACAGTACGTTTCAGAAAGTACTAGGCAACTGGAGAAAGTTGAAAAAAAATAATGGTGCCTATGTTGATCATTTTATTCCCAAAGTTTTGTTGTTGTTTTGTTTTGTTTTGTTTTGTTTAGTTACTGGCTGGTACTTTCATTAATGTTTGTTAAAGCATCAAATATGGTGTCTGCTTGGGGCACCTGGGTGGCTCAGTTGGTTAAGCATCTGGGCTCAGGTCATGATCCCAGATTCCTGGGATGGAGCCATGCGTCCTGATCTTAGGGCTTCCCAATCAGCGGGGAGCCTGCTTCTCCCTCTCCCTCAGCCCTCCTACCCCCTGACACGTGCTTGCTCTCTCTCACGCTCTCTCTCTCTAATAAATAAATAAAATCTTTTAAAAAATATGGTGTTTGCTAAACTTAACAGAGAACAGTTATTACTGAAAATAAGCTGGGTTTTCTTTGATTAAACCTAATAAATGGTTGGGAGAAGAGTTGCTTCTCTCGGTAAAAATAGGGATGCCTTTGTAGACACATGAGAACGGCTCACAATCTGTATTTTATACATCTAAGGAGCTTCTCTTTTTTGGAGTGAACATGACACATGACTACTTATAAATTACCAGGATTCAGGTATGTAAATTTTAATCAAGACATGTATGTGCCATGCTGACACCCAAAGTGAAGGCCATTCATTTGCCCAGTCCTTTAGGCTACGTGAAAGCAGTTTCCTCCAAGCAACAAAGAAAGAATGCATGATGCATGAGATGTCTTAGGAAACAGGTGAAACTTCTTACCAACACAGTTTTTCCCAGTTGAATCCACTTCATATCCTGAATTGCATATGCATTTGTAGGTCCCACGGAGATTTTCACAAATTCCATTTGGACAGATATCTGGATCTAGCGCACATTCATTTATATCTGCACCACCAGAAAAAAGGTTCAGTATCAATAACATTCTAAAGTAAAGGTCAAAGAACTGTCAAAAAAAAAAATAACATTACAAGAAATGTAACAACTTTAGAACCTGGTAAAATAAAGTTTCACTTAGATGAGAAAGCTTGATCGCTGTTTCTTACTACAAGATGTTCTGACTCAAATCTTCCTTCCACCAGTCCTTGAGAGGAACTTGGCATTTGAGCTGGAACTACAAGATTACCAATCCTTAATCAGGCTGAAGGAGAACCCCTGGTCTTCTTCTGGATCAAACATCAAGATGGAAAAGTAGATCACCACAGAGCCCCAGTCCCTACAACCAGTCTCCCTGCCTCCAGCCTATCCCTCTTTAAGGTACCTTCCACAGTGCCATCAGACTTATCTTAAAAATAAGATGACTGTGTCATTCTCATGGTTCAAACTTTTGTAGGTTCAATACTATCATCAAGATTAAATTAAAATATGAACTCTGTTTATTTACTTTAAATTTCTCATTCTTCCATGAACATACAATGCCCTTTTGCTCTGTGTCAGGAATGTCTGGAGCCAGGCCTATTCATTGGTCCAAAGCCCATTCAAACACCACCTGGTCTGGAAAAGCTTCTGCTGCTCAGCCCAGATGAGGCTGGGTCCTCCCTCTGCTGTGTGCCCACAGACTGAGGAGAGCTCTATGGTCAAGGGTGATGCAGAATGACAATCAGTGAATGGCTAGTCTCAAATCTTCTATAAGTCAGGGTTAACATGTTTTTCCTTCTCTGGGTCCCTATCACAACTTTATTTATTCCCCACGAACTCTTTATTCATTATAAATTTCTTTACTACTCCTTTTTCCCCGAAATATCTCTTCTCCACCTTCATCCACACATAATGATGAAATTAATCATGAGAATGAACTGACAATCAATTCCGACTTTTTTTCTAGAACTGTCCTGAATTGAATCATTTAGTTTTATATTAATAAAATCTATTTTTACACTTGTTCCAACTCTCTCTTTTAACTTTAATTCTTTTATGGTACCAATATTTCTCTAGTTCTAAGCCCTACACTTAAATATTTCATTCTCTTCCAACTTAGTTAATTGCTATCACTGCTTGCTACAAAATATAAGATAGCTCCCTATTGACATCTTATACGGACCCAATACTTGGCAGTCAGGAAATCATTCAAAATGTGAATGGATAACAATTCAACTGAGCCCATAACCCTGAACTGTACTTGATTGTGGAAGAGCCGAAGGAGGACCAGACTGCCTCTTTCTCATGAATGAGATGCCACAGTCATTGCATCTCATCTGCAGTCCTCCATCGACCGCCCCGGGAGAGCACCCACCCCTTCAGTACCAAGCCCCACACCCAAACCCAGCAATCCCAGGACACAGTGTACCACAGTTGCTCTGCCCCTGGGGGCCTCTAGGGGTCCCAGGTACATAATGCAGTGATGGCCAGAGAAGGGGTCAGACCTCCTCTGGTCTGGTGTAAAGGGACCAACTGGAAACCCACAGGAATGCCCAGTACTGCAGCTTCTGCACATGCTGAAGGAAGTGAATTTCAAACAAGTCCTTACCACTGCCTGCTGATGTCATTCCTGGCCCACTGCTGCAGAGCGCTTGATATTCCGCTGCAATAAATTAACAGATAGTAAATGATTCCCTTGTTTGGAGGACAGGTCGATCCTGTACTTGGCTTTGCACACATCATTTCCTCCTAAGTGAGTGGAGCCAAAATAAAGTGGTAACAAAAAAAGAAGGCATCTCCCGACGGAGTCACTGGTACACCCAGCTCCCATTTTAAAGGCTCCGCATCACTGTGGAAAATGACCTTAAAGGACATAGGCACGTTATAGCAATTCCTTGTGCAAAGCGCTTTTGGAAAAGGTGTTTTTCCTACAATTTGATTTTGTTCACCAGGGAACACTTTACACTTACAGTGAAATGCGCCTGTTAAAATGTGGTTTCTTAACTGTTAATAAAACTTTCTCCCACCGTCTTGGGAATAATTTTGTTTCTTAGTGTGAACAGTTTTTTTTTTTTTTTAATACAATCAAGTTCTTAACATTTTCTCATTTCTCTCTGCAAATTCTCTAGCCTCCACTCAGAAGAAAAACAAAAGTATCTGCCTTTGCATTTAAGTGTATTTTTAAAGTTCATATTCATCAGGATACTAGATTCATTCTATATGATAAATCCATAGGCAAAGTATTGCATAATGTTAAAACTGAGATCTTAATAAGAAATCAAGTTATACAGAATATGTTCCCAAATTCTGATGGCATCAGATTTCTATTTCCTAAAACTGATGCAATGTTTCACATACGATTCCAACAATATTTAGGCAAACGTAAGAGTGAATGATGAAAATGGAGAACTAACGGGAATCACACTTTATCCAAAACAAACTAAAGTGTCCCCTTAGTTGCCCACAGTTTCTGGCAACCACAGAGTCTCATGGTCAAATGCAAATCATTTGTGCTTAAGTGGCAGGGGAACTGGATATTAGGAACAGGCCTTTTTACTGAGGCCAACCACACCTCACTGCTAAGAATCAAATAGCTCTTACACTCCTGCATGCTAGAAAACTGTATTCCTGATGACAGTGAATGAAAAGGAGTTACACAGATTAAAAAAAAAAAAAAAAAGGAAGTTTGAATCCCTCAGAGCCTCTGCCTTCGTGCAAATGTAAATTTGAGAAAAGTGGTGAAATCCCTTAATTTTTAAACCCTGCTAAATGGGACCATAAACTGAACAACTGGGAAAGTGGCTGCCATTGAGTGTGTTTGAAAGCCTGGGACTAGAAGCAAAAAGAAATGCATTGTCATTATTCTCTCACATCAGCAATTAATTAAAACATTTTTGAAGTACTGTAAGCAACAAAGTAGGAAAGACAATATCATGCCAGTTTTGCAGAAAGCAGTTTTACAGTTAGTGCTGAATTAGTTGATGCCTGGCCTAAGTGGAAGCAAATTATTGTCACTGTTCTTTTCCATTTGGGTAGAATCTGGTCCGAGACTATCCTCTGCAGTCAGTGAATTCGGGTCAGCATTGGTTTGAATGCTGATGACAATGCTTATTGGGAGCAAGCCCTTTCCCTCTGTTAGTTTCCCCTTCTATAAACTGGAGACAAGAATACCCAACTCACATGACACTTATAAGGATTTCACAAGAGAACATGGAAAGTGCTCAACACAGCTCCTCGCACAGCTCATACATTTAATAAATGGTAGGTGCTGCTGAGCTAATTCACTGTTGTGCCACAGAGACACGGGTATGGGGACATATGAGAAAATTCCTAATACTTACACTTCAGTGGGTTTAACTGACTGATTCTTGCAAGGAGTAAATGTTCAGCAGCCAGGGAGAAATATCTTCATAGATAGCTCCCTTGGCTTCCTTCCAGAGCACAGAGATGGACTTTAGATGTGATGGGGTTGGAGTTTCTCATTAGATTGGCTAAAGAAGGAATCTTCTGAATATTTTCAGTACCTCTTAAAATCTCCCCTCTTTCCTGAAATAAGGGATACTCTACACTTAGATCCTTCACGATTTGGCATTTTCATCTACCAAAGAGGCAGAGAAACCAAATGGAATGAAGCCACGTCCACAGGTGGACCTCTTCTGTGCAAGTGCATTCAAATACAAAACAGAAGCTAGTGGGGCTGGGCTTCAAATTTAACCCTCCTTCAGCTTTATTGCTTAAAGAAATCTGGTCTCTTTTAGTCATCTTTTTATAAGATTACTTCATTTTCTGAGGTATCATAAGAATTCTTTGGATGCACTTGGTCCAGAAGAAAATGTAAAAACAAAGAACTCTATGCACCAAGGGTCCTAGATTCTAAGTTTTGGTTTTTCCACTTACTGAAGATGTAAACAAATCACCTATACTCTCGTGTGCCAGTTTTCATGATACTCATCTGTCTTGTAAATTCAAAGTGCATAACAAAAGTATAAGAAAAGTACTTTGAAAAGTTAAAGTAACATACAAAAGGATAGTATTGATGATATATGACTATAAAGTTACATGGAGGTATCTTTGTTGGATAGGATTATATTTGACATTATAAAATTGAAGTATTGTTGTGAGCATGAATTGAACTAAACGGTAATCATATATAAAATGGTAATTTGTGAAATTAATCAGCCAGAATAAAGCTTTCCTCTTCAACCGGCATCCCTCATTTCTTTTAAAGACTTCCATTTAACTTTCTCTAACTTCTCATATTTTAATTTCTAACTCTCTAATTTCAACTATTATCACTTTCAAAATGTCAAATGTTTAAAAATTGTAAGTTAATCTTTAATTGATTGTATCTAGGCCAGAAATGAACTAATTGGATCCTAGATGTAAACCAACCAATCAGAACTACATGTTTTCAATATTAGATCTAACTCTATTTTAGAACACTGAAAGGAAACTCCCAAGTTTACAAATGTTGACAGTTTATTGCTTTAGTTTCAATAAACTATTTTTGCCTTACAAACAATTTACACCTGGAGAGGATCTTCTGGATTACCTAAGATAATTCATTTTATAGATGATAAAACTAAGGATTCCTTTTCTATATTATTCTATTTTATAATTATTTACTACTGTAAGCCATCTCAAATCCTTTTGAAAGTAGGTGAGCAAAATTCCTAAATAAACAAAAACCTACAATGAACTGAACCCCCCCCCCCAATTAAGTAATTTGTCTGCCGGTGGCTGGGAAGAATTCTGACTCACCAACCAGTTTTCTTTTCATTATGCCATGTCACTTCAAATTGAGAAAAATACTTTTTCCCTAGGGTTGAATAAAATCATTTAGGAGAAGCACACCTAAATCAACATGAGGGATTTGAACAAAATTCACACACGGCCTTTTGGTAAAAAGCTGGAAATATTCAGGTAATCTGAAAATTATTTACTTTTACACTCTGTAAAATTCTGCTTTTATAATAGTTCCTGCAAAATGCAAACACTGTGAAACTACTTTAGAAAACAAGGCAAGCTGCATGAATTCCAAAGAGTATGAGTATTATTAAGGTGGAGGAGTTGGGATGGGGGTTCCAAACATGCTGTCGATTCCCAATGACCATTAGGATTGGGTGAGTAATGTGTGATCAGACCCTGAGTAGTCCTGCCAAGATCCCAGGAAGGTATATGATGTATTTGGAGAACATAACATCATCTCTCCCTGTGACTTCCATAAATGCAAAGACTGCAGACGGAGGCGGGAGGCTAGTAGTACGAGGGCATCCCCATGACACCACATACCTGAATTCTGTGCAGGACACGGTTGGCAAGGTTCCCCAAATGCATACTCAGTGTTGGCACAACAGCATTCAGATTTTGTAACGGCACCAAACAAGGGTTTGACACACTGGCCTCTCTTGTATCCACCATAGCATGTGCTCCGCATGTGTGTGTCTAAACAGGAAGAAGGATCTGTCATCACACTATCACTTCAAACAGATGAGAACTCCCCAGGTCAAAGTTGAAGCTGCCTTTATTTAGCCATCGTCCCTATTCTAACTCACAGAAGATGCCTCTGGTCTTAGATTTCAACAGAAAAAGACAAAACAAAACAAACTACATTCAGCTTCCAAGAACTGGAAACCAATTCCCAGAGTCTTTCTGTTTTCTAGAGACTACCATGGTTTACCCAACTGTGAGATTCTTAAGTGCTGAGAATCTATCTCATTCATTTTTATCTTTCCCAGACCTGTACAGAGCAGGCACTTAATACAAGTTAAATGAAGGATGGATGACCAGTGACTCTCACCCTATGATAAATAAGATCTTTCTTAAGAAGTGTGGCCTACCTCAAAATAAACATGCAATTACTGAATGTCTGAATTAGATGTACTTTCGAAGAAGAGGAAGTTTAATTTATAAATGGTTCATTATATAAGTCTGTAGACATTGGTCTACTAGGTAGTGTCATCTTTACCAGCAGGGAGGGAGTTTCCAGCTATGCCCAATTCAAAGGTTTATTGACTACCTTTCTTAAAAATAATTTGGATAAAATTAATATCTATTTCTCAACAAATTTTAAACTTCTTATAAAGCCACATAAAAATATTACATAAAGTTCTTGATTATCCATATCCTCCTTTGCATTCTATGCTTCCCTTAGGACATTTAATTCCCTATACGAAAATGTTCACTATGAGATAATGAGCATATAGAGGCCAATTTCAAAGACCATTATCCAGAAGGGAGAATTGGAGAAAATTGAGGACATTGACATGATTAGAAAAGAAAAGGGGAAGAAGAGGTAGGGATTCCCCTGGTTTTCATTTATCTCAGCTCATCTTAGATTAATATCCGATTTATGCAAGAAGAGAACTGATATTGTTGGTTTGTTCCCCCACAAATATTCTGTCCTGTCTGTTACAGTAGAGTGCATTTGTTATTGGTGGGATTTATTGGTCGACAGAGGGTGGATCTCTAGCACACATGTAGTCACAGCTTTATCTTACCAACACACACACGTCCATCCAGACCCACGGCCAGTCCAGGAAAGCATTCACATCTGTAGGAACCATCAGTGTTGACACAGCGCCCATTCATGCAGATCCCAGGTGTTTCACACTCATTAATATCTGTGGTGGGGAAAAGCACTTATTAAAAATGGAGTGACGTTTCTATGAAACCAAAACATGCTTACAGTTCTTTTACAACACTTGAAAATGGGGAAGATGGAAAAGAATATGCAGCACCAACAATAAAAGCTCAGTGAGACACATTTCATTGTCCTTTGATAGAAGAACAAAAATTGACATAAACTACATGAGCTTATTTTTTTTTTTTAACCACAGAAAAAGCTATTTCAATCATATTCTCCTGAGGTCTTTTTATCCAAAATAAGAATCACAAAAGCAAAAAACAGAACTGGAAGAAGAAGGAAAGTGACAGCTAACAGACAAAGGATCTTGTTGAACATTTCACATGGCGATTCTTACAGGACTGTCAGAAATCTAGCTTGATAATAGAGTGCAACTTTGACCTGGGCAGGAAGCTGCTCCATTTGACATCTAATACTCAGACTGGTGTCCATTCCAATATCACTTAACTCTCTGAGATGACTAGCATGGCATTAAGAGATACAGAACTAAAACCCTGATGGAACACCATTGAAAAGAAATGGAAAATGAATATAGAAGATTTTGATGACCATTTCTGGCCAACAACAACACCCTAACCAATTGGAACCCAGCAAAGAAAAATCTTTAAGTATTACAGATATTTTATAGTATCATATGTATATACTTAGGAGAGATCTGGTAAAAGATTTTATTGGGCACACACTAATAATAGCAAAGATTTTTCCCCTTTAATATGGGGAAGTAGAAATGGTACCAAAATTGTGTTTTGGAAAACATACAACACTTAGAAGCAAGTCATTTTATAACAACTCCTTTTATAATATATAACTAGTGTATGTAACTATTTCCTTTTCTTCTGACCTTAAAAAGACAAATTGAGACTGAAACACCTCTAGATTTTTACTTAGCTTGTGTTATTTGGCACAAGGTATATTCAGATGGTCCAAGATTCCCGTGTACAGATTGTATTTTAAAACAGCAGTTATATTTAAATACATGAACTCAAATTGGTTCAGTTATTCAGGTCACCTTTTTGTTCAAGTTGAGATCTACAGTAAAACAGTGACAACTATAGCCTGAAAAGTGATACACAGGCTTTTTAACGGGGACAGAGATGTAACATAGATCTAGAGGGCATGATTCAATGGGAGTGGCCCCAACTTTCAGAGAGTGATCAGGGAGGCCAAGCTGGTCATCAGATTAGTTAACTGTAGAGATTAAATTAACATTGTTTATTCTAGCTTTGAACAGTCACATCTTTGTGGTCTCAGAACTAAGTACTCAGAGCTAAGAGAAAATCTCATCCAATGATGTCAAGAGAAAAGTTACAGAAAAGAAGAAATTCAGCACCCAAGAAATTTCTTTTTTCTTTATTCTTCGTCTAATGTGTATATTCCATCTATTTCACCAGCTGCAGACAGTTGCAAAACCTAGTTTCATCTATGAGGTCATAGTGTCATCTGAAATAATTACATCAGTATTATCTATTGGTCATACTAAATGCTGAGAGGGTGTGACCTGGGTCCCCAGCAGCCTATAGGCACTGAAAGTGAATCTCAGCATGCCCTGTGGATAGGCAACAGGAGTATGTGTTCTTGCAAAAGGTCTGTGCACAAAGGGGCTTTCACATTTCCTTCTGTTATTTTGTTTGGAAGCCTAATTCCAAATATTCCAGCAATCATTCCCTTCCCCTTTCTTTTTACTTGTACAGCACTTTATCTGCACAATTTGGCACTTTGTTGTATTCTGTTTTACACTGTAGAATATTTCCACGTGTTAATCTTGTCTTCCATACAATAAGTTCCTCCCAGCAGAGGGCTCAAAAGTACAGAGACTTATTTCCTATTTCAAATTTTAAGAACTCAAATGTTTTCTCTTGCTCTGAAGACAGATTTGCACAATATTAAGATCCACTGATGTGAAGGTCACGGAGAATGTAGGTAAACAACCAAGGGATAGAAGCTCTTTTAAGCCTAGAGAAAATGCATGTCTTGCCAACGACTTAATACAAGGCTTTCTTCCATAGCACCTTTACCAAAACTGTCTACCAGGGGCACCTGGAGAAGAGACATCATAGGACTTTATTCTGTTTTCTTAATCCTGACTAGCTTGACACTCTGCACTTCTCCATCTGAAACTATGAGCAGAAGGCTTTGAGTGCAGTATTTTAGTAGATTTCCTGGGCCTGTTTTGGATATAAGGTTCCTTGAGAAGTATGTTTTCAACTTAGATCTTGGACCCAAGGGCAATAATCCCTCATCCCTAGCTACATAAGGCAAGAGACACAAGCACAAATTTATCTCAATGACTCTTCTTAGAACCCCAATTTTCAATAGCACAAATAAAAATCTTAATTTTTGTTTCAATAACTGGAGCAATGCAGTTATTTCAAAAGTTAAACAATGGCTCTTTGTTTATTTCTTCTGCTTAATTCTATTTCCCCTTATGCTTATGTGACTTGAAAATGCTTAAATTGTTCATGAAAAACTTTGTTTCTTAAGATATCAGGAGGAAATTATGGAGAAGATATCACTGCAATAAGCATTTACAATATTTTGTCTAGGTGAAGATGTAAGAGCAAATGACAGCCATCAAAAGACCTAACTACCATTACTCCCCAAATATAAGGAAGAGGAAGAATTCAGCTTCTTTAAAAAGATGCTCACATTTGTTGGTGGACCAACTATTAATTCAGCTTCTCATTCATTTGCTACATAGCCTTTCAGGCTCCTTTAGAAGACCCCAAACACCCTTTCTGAAATCAGAACAGCCTCTTGAGCATAAACCATAGCTCTCTGGATGGCTGGACTTAAGAAGGAGGTCCAGTCAGGTTTCCTAAAATGAATTAGGAGGACTTTAAGTGGGGAGAATCAATAAGGAAAAGTGGTACCTCTAAGCAATATAGAAAGGAGAAAAAGCAGGGGGAGAATATGACTTAGAGTTTTATAGCACAAACCTTTGCAATAACGCCCATCTGATGCCAGCTGAAATCCAGGTTTGCAAATACATTTAAAACTGCCATCTTCATTGATACACATTCCATTAAGGCACATGTTCCTTATGCTGCATTCATCCATATCTGAAAAATGCAAAAATATACATTCTCTTATGACCAGAAGAGTAAGCCTACAGAGGAAGCCAACCTGAATGAATATAATTCTTTTTCTTCACATTTCTTCTGGGGTTTTTGTATGTGTGTGTGTGATTATAGTCTAAGGCTAATTTTCTCCCAAATTATAGCATATAAGAAGAAGAAGGGCCATATAAAATATGTATTCTTAAGTTCTCAATTTTTGACATGTGCATGCAAACTCTAGGGCTAAATTTATTTTATGACATACTGTATATTTGCTGTATGTATACATATATACACATATATGCATGTGTGTGTAGATATGAAATTTATATGTAATCATATATATAAAACTGCACGTGTGTGTGTGTGTGTGTGTGTACAAAATTTGACTCAATGGAAGCTACCAGGACTTTTTTTTAAAAGAGCAGTGGACAAACTGAAAAGTGTGTTAACAGCCTGATGGTTATATTTACTTCACTGATATTACTTCCAAAACACTGAAAAATAAAAAAAAATCAAAACTAAGAACGATGGAACTTAAAATGTACTTAGGCCACTTCCTAATTCTTTATAAAGTAGAAACCAGAGGGCAGCTTGAAATTTGAAGCAGTTTTAAATAGGGGTAGGAAAAAATGTATTTTTAAAATGCAAGACTGGACTATGGAGGATAGCCATGTTAGCTAACCTTTAGAATTCCTTGATCAACGGGTTATTTCTTTAAATTCATCAATATGTTATTTTATTTAATACTACAGCTGTCTTGGGAGGTACTTGCTCTTCTAGACATGATGTGTTTTCACTTACAGGCTTTAGTCAGACCAATGTAATTTATGATTTTTTTTCCTTTTTTTTTAAACAGGATTCTATCCCAACCGAGAATTCTGGCATTAAGTCTTTGAATTGAATCACTGAGATAATATTCTGCCAAAAATGTTTCTAAGAACAATTTTGAAATTCTTTTAATGTATGAATAGATTCTTGGGATCTTTCCCAAAGACGTTGGGAAAGACGATAAGAAGCATTCTTCATTTTTTTGCTAAGGTCTAAGTAGTGGAAACTCATCAATAATGGTCATATTTTCAATTCAGGAAAAAATGGCAGGGGAAAAAGACAAAATGTTTGAAACAGCCCAATTCAAAATGAAGTGATTAATTCAAGACACAAGATAGCTGCTTCTCAATAGTCAATGTCTCAAACAAATTTTACACTTCCAGGTACTCAGCAGTATTTTCTTACTAGACAGACACTTTAAACAGAAGGATTATAAATGTCAAAAGAATATATGGCACGTGTCACCTTACTTCAATTAAAAATTTAAAAAAGAAATACAGGAGATTAGGTGTGTTCCATTAAAAAAAAAACAACGAACAAATTCTGATGGCACAAAATTAGGAAGTAATGATCTATGTTATAGAAGTTTCATCATCACCAGGGATCTTTAAAGGACAAGCTCTCATATATTTGAAATGCTATTTGACTCACAGAAATGTAATTAAAGGTATGAATATTGTTACAAAGTATGCTTGCCTCTCCTGTAACAATATGTGAAATATATTTGCTACTTTGACCTTTCACTTGATGTTTGGCTTGGTCTTGTTAAAGACCTTTTTTTTTTTTTTTTTTAAGATTTTATTTATTTATTTGTCAGAGAGAGAGTGAGAGAGAGCACAAGCAGGGGGAGTGGCATGCAGAGGGAGAGGCAGGCTCTCTGCTGAGCAAGGAGCTGGATGTGGGACTCGATCCCAGGACCCTGGGATCCTGACCTGAGCCTAAGACAGATGCTTAACGAACTGAGCCACCCAGGCGCCCCTTGTTAAAGACTTCTGATATTGAAACCACGATGGGAGATAGGGGTGAATATTATCCTGCTGCCCTGACTGCCATCTTGCTATTACTTACCTTCACAGTTCTTCCCATCTCGTGTCACGTGAAAGCCCGCGTTACACACACAGTGGAAACTGCCATCTGTGTTGATGCAACGTCCATTATTACAGATACGGCCATTCTGTAAACATTCGTCGATGTCTAAGATGGAAGTTAAAACAGAAGAAATAGATTTACTTGGTGGATTTACAATTATTTTAGTTCCCCCTTCCTCCATCTCCAAACCCATGATGGTAGTCTTGGGGTTTAATTACTAAATATTCCTCAACATAAATGTGATATCCAGTAATGTGAGACTTTAGATGACTGACTAGAGTTTGCAAGACATAGGACAGAAAAAGAATGTCAATATAAGAGCATTTGATCTAACTCTAATTTCTAATAAGACTCCTTAAATCTCAATTGTATACACAAAACAGATTCTTCTTCATTTTCCTAGCTAATTTAATGAGCCAGTATATATCATTATTTATATTAAACTTTGGCTGGCATCTTTCACATGCTCAAAAAGGGAGATCTCATAGCTACATCAGAACAATAAAACAAAAATCCTATTAAAAAAATTTAATTCCATCTGAAAACCAGCAATCACATGAAATGTTTACCTTCCTTATGGCAGTTCTGGTCCAAGTACAGTTTTATTGTTTATGTATTCTTAGTTTCTTTTATAACTTCATAAGCATTCTATCTACCAAATAAAACATGGGGCATTTCCCCTTCTTTCTGTTGTGCTTAATATTATGCCAAAGTAAACAACAGAGCTCGATATGAAAGTGTTAAAAAAGGACAGTAACTCAAATAACCTATATCTCATTTCTCATTTAAAGATCAATGATTAACTCAAATTGGACAACATGGTACCCTGGATTATCTGTTCCCCTCAGTTTCTAGGCTAGATACCTGGATGAACACCAAAGAGGATGAATACACGCTGCCTTGTCTACATAGCATACAATCTTTGCCAGAGCCTATTCCCCAGAAGACAGAGACCAGGGAACCGCGTAGTCGTGCCTGGGGGTGGAGCTATCTATGCAGAGCTGAGGCCACATGTGCCTGAGGATAAGCACCCGAAACATCCTCTGGACGACAAGAATGTGCATTCATGGCACATTGGTTACTCTGTCTACCCTGCGTCTGCACGGTGTCTTGTGGTTGACCCTCAGACGCACTTTCTTTCTGGGCAGATCCAACAGTGGTTTCCACACGAGTCATTGGACTAGCTGAGGCAGTCTGGGCTTTTCTTCTGTCTGATCTTTGTGCCAACAACCTACGCTCTTTTTCTCTCTCATTTATTTCTTAATCCTTGCAAAAATCTGACTTGCTACACACTCCAAAAAATAGTAAAAGCCACATACTCTTGAGCAGAATTGGTTTTTTTTTTTATAGGATTCTATAATCTTTTGAGGCCCAAGGATAAAATAAACAGTATAAAGAGTTCAGCATTTTCTCTCCTCACTAATTTCAGAGCACCATCAGTCTGCACACTGCCTCACAAGATAAATTGGAAGCTTGCCATTCAAAGTTCTCTACCATGTTTCTCTCTGCCCCTTCTGTCCCCTTCTCTTCAGACTGTCATGTACTTTTCCTCAGCTAAGTACGCAATCTTTCTGTTTTGTGGCCACTTTCATCTTCCCCAAAATGTGAATATGTCATCAACTCCTTATGTTTGAGATAAGCTTAGCACTAGCTCTTAAGGAGGACAGTATTTGAGGCTTTTAGGTAATCCTCAGTCTCCAATAAATTAAGTCCCAGAGTGATAACATCACCACTCCTCTATACTGGCTGGCCCTCGCCCTGGCTGAGTACGCTCAATAATCTCTTCTACTTGCTTATTTAGTAGTGCAGAATTCTAGACCTTGCTTTCAGTTTATTCTCTACTACTGCAAAATGCCTAATACATCATACATGCTAATTATTGTAAACAATAGTTATAATGTTAACAATGTTCTAAACTCAGTTAAACATTCAAACTATCTATATTTATATTAAGTAGGCCATTAATAGAAATATTAGCAGGCTGACATACTATGCTCCTGTTTCTTCTGCTCAACACTGCCATTTATATACCAATGGCAAGAAATCTCTAAGCCGGAACAACATTCAAAGACTCTGTAACCAGTCACTGATAAAAATAAAAAATATTTGTCTTCAACTCATATGAAGAGCTTTCGCTAAAGGAAAAACAAAAGGCAAATAAAATTAACTCCTGTTAATAGCTGACAATTTTTTTTAGGTGATACAAACCTTTTGACCTTTTCTTGTATTTAATTTTAACATAAAATTCTCTTGCTTTTATTTGCCTTTACTGGATCAGTGAAATACCTCATTCTGTGCCAAAGTTATAGAGACATAGATATTTGAATTCCCCGAGGGTTGAAAGTAGATCTTACTTATTTCTGTCCCAGAAACTTAGTATATCAGTCATCTGACAAAAGGCATATAGGATGATGTAATAAATTAATTAATAAACCCAAAGAGAAAATTCTGTGAGCAAACATTTATAGTAGTGCTTCTCAAACTTTAGTGTGCTTATGGATCACTGGGGGGATCTTGTTCAAATGCTGATTGTGATTTAGTAAGTCTGAGGTGGGACCTGAGATTCTGCATTTCCCACCAGCTCCCAGGTGATGTTGCTATGGCCACTGTCGCTCCTTCTTTACCCTACAGACCTTTCCATTAAGAAATTGATTCAATACAATTTCACCTGAAACTTTCCTCAGTTTCTGTGTCAACAAGGGTCAACCCCATTCCCTAGCTCTCAGATTAAAAATTAAGAGCAATAGTGATGAGGCAAAAAGTAGTAAAAATAAGATATTCCCATAGGAACAGGAGCATCTTTTAAAATGATTTGCATGTCTGCTGGATTTTATGATGCTGTCCTTCAGTGTGACAATATCTGGAATTAAGTGCAAAAAGCAACAAGGGCCTGTTAGCCTCTCCTGGCAAAGGTGTTAAATTCCTTCCAAGCAAACCTCCTCCTTAGCATATATGTCCCCTTACTTAGCAACTTCCGAGCTAGGACCATACCTCGGCACTCCGTCCGGGTGAGGGTGCTCTGATAGCCAGGTCGGCACTGACAGGTGTACGAGCCCTGGTTATTAATACACTCTCCACCAGCACAGGGGTTTTTCTCACATTCATCAACATCTGCAAAACACAGCATATTTTAGTAAGAAATTAGACAGCAACAACTCCTAACTTTAAGATCATTTTTTTGGCCTCCTTTACATGTTAAAACGCTTTCCTCCTAAGAAATAAATAGCACAATGAGAAGGATCTTTTCTCTTTCTGCCACAGTGTACCATGCCACCAGCCACTTGAAAACTGGTGGTGCAGTTAAAGTATATTGTTTTCCTATGTTATTTTTCATAGGAAAATGCCAAACATGTAGCAACTCTACCCTCCAAGCTAATAAACATTTTCTCTGCCTTGAGTCTGGCCTAAGGGACTCAGACTAGCATTTCAGAAATGGCTTCTAGGTAGAATTCCGAGTATCTCTTGGAGCTCTCTGTTTCAATTAAAAGGGGGGGAAATCGGAGGGGTAGACGAACCATGAGAGACGATGGACTCTGAAAAACAAACTGAGGGTTCTAGAGGGGAGGGGGCGGGAGGATGGGTCAGCCTGGTGATGGGTATTAAAGAGGGCACGTTCTGCATGGAGCACTGGGTGTTATGCGCAAACAATGAATCATGGAACACTACATCAAAAACTAATGATGTAATGTATGGTGATTAACATAACAATAAAAAAATTAAAAAAAAAAAAGGAGGCCTCACCTTATCTAAGCATCCCCTGCTGAGTTCCACTGAGAACATCAGAACAAGACATGAAACAGTTGTCATTCCAAGAGCTATTCTCACCTACCACAGAGTCCACCCCCCAACCCTCACCCCCAGACAGGCTCCCACTGGTTTTACAGTTGTTTAGAACTATCAGTCTATTTAACAGCAAACTGGTTTATATTCCCCTATTTGTAAAGACAAGGAAACTAAGCCTTTTGGAAGATAACGCACTTCTCCAGAGTCACACGTTTCTTGCTGCAGGTACACTTGCCCACCGTGAGCTAGATGTCCCCTCTTCCAGTCTGCTCCGGGTGACCTCTACGGACTGAATGACTCTCTCTCTCTCTCAGTGTGTGCTAGAAGGGGAAACTACATAGTGTGAGAAACTAAGAACTCCTTATTTCTGCCTTATTCATAATTACAGAATTGGATTGTATAACTGAACTAAGAAAGGAATTTATTTTTATTTATTTATTTATTTTATTTTACTATGTATGTGTTATGGTGAGGAATTTATTTTTAAAAAGTTAGATGGCAACTGGGTGTTCTTTTCCAATTAACAGATGAATTATTCTTGTGTTACATTTCCACCCTTTGCTAGCTTAAACAACCTGTCAACAACTCAAAGTTTCTCTCGTCAGTTTTTAATGACTAACTAGAGACAGTTGATGAGTTATCCATTTAAATTAGTTAAATGTGCAAAATTTCATAATCTGGGGACGGTTTTAATGCTTTATTTTAATGGTCAGACTTTTGATAAGATGACGTACGTTGAAGTTACCAGCAACGACTTGAATGTATTTACGATGAAAGTTAAAAGTCAAGATAGTAGGCAGAATAATGTCCCTCTCCAAATATATTCACGTCCTAATCCCCAGAACCTCTGAATACGTTACGTGGTAAAGGGGAATCAAGGTTGTTTATCAGCAGACCCTGAGACGGGGAGCGTCTCCTGAGTTACTCAGTTGGACCCTATTTAACCACAAAGGTCCTTAAAAGTGGAAGAGGGAACTGGAGGAGAGAACCAAAGAATTAGAGATTTAAAGATGCTATGCTGCTGGCTCTGACGATAGAGGAGGGGACCATCAGCCAAGGATACAGACAGCCTCTAGAAGCTGGAAAGAGCAAAAAAAATGGATTCTCTCTGAGAGCCTCCGAAAGGAACAGAGCCCTGCCAACACCTTGATTTTAGCCCGGTTAGACCTGTGTTGGACTTCTAACCTATAGAACTATAGATTTGTGTTGTTTTAAGCCACTAGGCTTGAGGTGATTTATCACAGCTGCAACAGAAAACCCATCTAGTCATGGGACAGAATTGCAATAGCCTCTCATGCAGACCTAACCATAGGCGTCACATACCAATGCACTCCCCTCGGAGGTCCAGCTGGAATCCTTTGTTGCATTCACACCTGTAGCTCCCAGGAGTTGGAATGCAGCGTCCATTTTGACAGAGATAGCGGAACAACTGGCAGTAATCAGTGACATTGACGGGCAGCACCCCTAAAGGAATAACATTAAACCCCATTAAAATCATGGGAAAAATCCTAAATCATAAAGGAAGGTAGACACTCTTTGGGCAAAGGTCATCTGGGGCCAGTAAAGTCTATTTCCATGCCCGCTTACAGAGATCACCTGCAGCCAGGCCCTGCAGCCTCGCTGTGGCCAGCTTCTCCCTACCTCTTTTCTGCCCCACTCTCAAGCCTCCAGTTTGGGTAAATGACAAAGGCAATGAGTTCTTGGTAATTACTTGCAAAACTGCTTTGCACTATATAAAACTCAACATATAATTGTATACCACCTCTATGACTTCATCCTGTGAATCAGATTTAAATTGCTCTCATAACTCTCCCTCAGTTGTCAATAACCAAAGGACATTAATCTGGAGAATATGAAACCCCCTATTTTTCTCTAAGCAATAGGTGAACTGAGAAACTTATATACAACACTATGTAAACCAGTTAATCTAGGAATTGATATACTAATTTAATGACTAAAGCAGCGTAAATAACAACAAAAAAGTTAACCTGATTAATGTAAACAAAAAAACAAAACAAAAAAAACCCTGATGACTTTTTCAATCCTTACTTGGTGGTTCCCGAGACGGGTATGGATATTCCACCGGGGGTCGAGGGACAGGAACTGGAGGTCCAGGAGGAAAGCCAGGAGGAACAGGAGGAATGGGGCCAAGGGGTGGGGGAGGATATCCTGGTCTCTCAGGAATTACCAAAGGGACGGAGCACAGCTTGTTGAAATCCTCTGGAAAAACACAACACAACAGAACACAAAAGCTGAGCTGTAGCGTAACTCATAAACCTGTAGAAGTCACTTTGAATAAAATCAATCATCAGACCACACAGATCAATTGGAGAAAAGGGGAAAAGCCCACTGACGTCATTCCCATCCTAACAGCTACAGTAGCAACCATACTGGAACCATAATTCCAAACCAAAACCAAACTCCCCAGAGTGTATACCGCATGCCTCTCCCCAAATTTAGGAAGTCTCTACCTGTGTCACGATTTGCCTCAAGGAGGAATCAAATGCCACTTTCTCAACTCAGTCCTATTTGTGGATCCCACAGAGCTCTAAAGAGCACACTAAAAAGCCCGGATTTTATTTTAAGCCACTGGAAGTCTTCAGCAGATTAACGTGGGATGTAATCAACGAACATTTTCAGAAGATCAGTCTTGCTGACACAGGGAGAATGCGCAGGAGGGAGGCAAGGCTGTTACAGAACACCAAGGGCAAGAAAGCTTTGGCGGGACAAGGAGGCAGCGATGGAACTGAGCAGGAGTGGATGAATTTGAAGCATATTTTAGAGATAAGTGGGTAGTGCTTCATGAAGGGGTAAATGTCAGAGCAGAGGAAACAGGAAATCAGGAACGACATAGTCTTCTGGTTTAGCAGCTGGGTAGATGTTGGTGACATTTACGAAATGTGAAAAACTGCAATGGGAGGTAACTTCAATGGGTTTGGTGGGTAGAAGCTACGTTCCATGTTGAACATATGTATTTTGAGGTGGCAGAAATCCAAGCAGATTTGTCATGGAACAGCTATGTAAGAGTTCGAAGCCTAGCAGGAGAAGTGGGGGGCTGGATATAAGTTTTGGAATGATCAGTAGGTGGGTGGTATTTAAAGCCATGGGGATGAATGAGCTCCCCTAGGGAAGGTGTGGAAAGTGAAGAGAAGGGTGTGCAGAGACAGAGCCCTGAGGAATACCTATTTGTAAAAAGACAACAAAGTGTTGGAGAAGCAACACGCAGGGGGGCAGAAGGAATACCAGGGAGTAGTGGGTCTGTTATTAATGCTGCATAATGATTCCCTGAACTCGTACACCTGAGTTAATCAGGAATTTCCCTCTGACTGCACATATAGGCTGATTCCCATTTTTCATGCCAGGTCTTTATCAGAATAAATCATCTTTAGATTTGTGACACGTTTTTTCCTGAGCTTCCAAAAAGATGTTTTAAGACACAGTATCCAGGTTTCCAGGGATGTATTTACTTAACTACTAGTACATTAGCCACATCTTGTTATAGTTCCCTCTATATGTAAACTAATCTTGTGATTTTTTAAAATTTCTTTTTCCCCTTCTTGTCAGAATACTGATAATTTTATTATCACTGCCACACAGGGATTCTCCCACAGATAATTTCTATACTAGCTTTATCCATTAATAGAAATGAGGCTAATATTACTCTTTTCCTTGTGCACTAAATCTGACTTATTCTAAGGCACTGTAATATGTCTTATGGAAATACATTCATATTCAACCTCATGGGGAAAATCTGCCAATTCACATGTGGCCAAATATACCTAGCTACCATATACCTTGTTGTTACTTGTTGGTCCATTACTAAAACTTCTTCAATCACATTTGGCATTTCCAACTCAGGTTAACATCATGTATTCAGAGAATTCTATAACTGCATTTTAATTATTATTTATCTGTAATTTTAACCCACACAGATTCTGTAGCATTTGACTGCATCTGGAAAGGATTTATATTATTGTTTATGCTTCCCTGAACCCGGATGCTACAATCCCTCTTACGAAACCACAGTGATCCTTCTTATAGAATTATCACCTGGATGTGCCCTATCTATCACTCCCCGGCTACTTGCTTTCCACCAAATTTCTACCACCAAGATTGTGCATAATCTTTGAAGTCAACAATCATATCTAACTCATGACTAATTCCCACTCTGAGCCTAGCCTTGCAAATTGCACATAAGAGGAATTCATTAACTATGTGTTGGATTTAACTGGATAGCAATTATATTAAGGGACTCATTTTGCTTCCAAGCACCAATTCAGCCTTTCTTTTTCTTTAGTCTTTTAGTATTTGTATAAAAGAAGTTGAATAGCTTATCAGGATTTCTGCTAATTAGATTGATACATGACTTTAAGCATGCCATTAAATTCATCTTAACCGGGGCGCCTGGGTGGCTCAGTTGGTTGAGCGACTGCCTTCGGCTCAGGTCATGATCCTGGAGTCCCGGGATCGAGTCCCGCATCGGGCTCC